AGATAAAAATCATTACAGAGTGATATATTATGAACATTGTATAATGTATATTAGATATTTGATACAATGGTCAATGGTGAATGGGTCATCGAATAAATCATGGATACACTTGTCACTTACCTATGTTATATTATATTGCAGGTATTATAGGTACACTGTTTATAGGCGAAGGCCGAAGAGTCTTACGTAAATATTATATTAAATATTTATCAATTAAATTAATAATTAATTATGTAACAATCAATGATTAAACAATATTGTTTTAATAATTCCAGAGTATACCTATTATTATTAGCTTACCGTCGAAGGCTATCTCAGCCACTCTATAGGTGTCGCCTGGTAACACCTCTATCACGTGTAGCGGCTTCTCACGATATTTTGCCTGCAGCTTCGTAGGTTTATCTGGTCGCGGTTGTCGTAACATGACAACGACCTCCCCTACTTCGTACTTCGTTCCCGGATAACGGCTCCGGTCGTAATAGGCCTTCATGTTTGCTTGGCCTGTGGCAATAGCATCTCCTACAGAGTCTTGCACGTCATTCGGGTCGTTCTGCTCACCACTAGAACGGCTGTGTGTTGACCACGCCTCCCACATACCTAGGTTGGTATCCGTGGAGTGCCTCAAAGGGTGTACGAGTGTTCGTTTTGTTTACGGTGGAGTTTAGGTATACCAGCTCCGGTATTCGATCGTCCCATCTAGCTTTATCGGTCGTCATTATGGCTAACAGTGGCACAATGGTCCGATTCGCGTGCTCGACCTGCCTGCGGGTGACGAGTTGAGTTCAGCGTATAGCGAATGCCTCGACTTTGGCAAAATTTCCCAAACGCTTTCCCGGTGAAGCAGGTGCCACGACCGCTAATGATACGTCCGGGAATTCCACGCGTGTCGCAGAAACCTAACCTGTTCAGTACACCGCGACCGGCGGTATCCGTGGTACGACACGGATACAGATGTGTGTATTTGGTTAGATTATCCACCAGTACCAATAAGTACTTGTTATCTGTGGCGCTGGTTTCAAAAGGACTAAGGTGGTCGATGTGGACAACTTCGAACGGTCGCCTACCGGTTTGGCTAATTCAAACATAGACATATTATTGTCTTATATCGTTATATGTCTATGAATTCAAATCAATACTTTGTAAACACTAAACAGTTAAATTTGTAGATGACATTAAAATACGCATAGTGATGCAAAATAATTTTTTTTATTAATTGGAAATTAGAGCGATAGAGAGTATTTAATATTTATAATATACGATAATTATATGAACGCCTAAGAATATTTCGATAGCATAAAAACATCTAATTCTTAGTATCTATTTTGATTGTATAAAATTAAAATTCCTGTCGTCTGATCTCTACATAATAACCGTCGTTATATCTTGTGTACATAACTATTTTTTTTACATGTAAATGTAATTTTTTACATGTATAAAGAATTTTTTAAAGTTTCATTATAAAGATTTTTTACTGAAAAGTGGACCTCTGCTTAAAACCTTGTGTCTATAGTATTCCAATATTTTTAAATACATTTCATATAGTACTGTAGTAGGTTATAGCAGAGAGTATAATATTATTATTTCATTAAAATGTATAAATTACCTATACAATATAACAATTAAATAGGTATTTAGGCAACATAACCTAGTAGGCAACTATACTCCGGCCCACGAGAGTCTATTTGTCCAAACGCGTCCGTCTCTGAGCATCTGCATGTTGCCGAATAGTGGGAATGACATCATGGTAGGAGAAAACAGACATCGCGTATTACTAAATCGATGCTCGGTTTACGTATGGACTCTCGTGGGCCGGAGTATATATAGTAAAAACTAAAAAGCTAGTAAGTCGATGTTGTTATGCAGGCTGTACAGTAGATTACAATTGGATCACAGTATAATGGATGGTAATAAGTTTAAATTCAATGATATAATATCATTGGTAATCGGTCAATAAGTCCGGTATGAAAAAAGTTGGACAAAAAGTCCAGATTCATTTTTTGATTGCAGGACAAAAAGTCCTAGTACATTTTTAGTGTCGGACAAAACGTCCGAAAATACAAAATTGTCTATTAAATTTTTTTTTATATTTTATTACTTATTGTTTCTGCGATTACCGACACAATATCACAATATACAATGGGATAGTCCAATCATACAATCATGCGACTTCTTTTCTAGGATTTTTATTATACTTACCTACAGCAATCTTACAAAATTAAAATTAAAATAAAATAAATAACAAAATAATTATAGTTTAAAAAAAGTAATACGTTTTAAAAAATCTAGTCTACAATAATAATTTATTCTACATTCCGTTTTCTTAAGCAATGACCAATAATATTTAAAAATTCTGGTATTGTTAAAATGTTAACTCGTTATTAACAAACTTCTTACATAAATATTGTAATTTTACATTTTTTTCTGATCCATGTTTTTTTTTTCTTACGGGTTCCAAATCATGTAATGCTATTTTAGCTTTATCCACCCCCACTTCCTCACGAAATTTATTAATCAACTTCCAAATTGTTGGATGACTATGCCCGATTAAATGCGCAAATCTATTGTTCCAGCTTTCACAAATATTATTTGTACGGTGTCTGTACGTTCCATGTTTCAGGGGGGTACAATGGCTTAATCCGTCTGAATTTTTAAACCCCGACTTTTCTATAAGTTCCAGTAACATACGTGCTATCAAAACAATCAATTATATCCGTATTATCGGGTGCACAAATTGATTTTAAGTACTTCATGCCTTCAATCACTTTTTGTATCGGCAAAAAAGCTAATCCATCGATCATACTACAATAATGGCTAAACACGTTGTCATGATTGTATTTAATAATTTTAAATTTATAAATGTATAAATTAAAAATAATGGTACTACTTAAAAATGAATACCTAAGATCCCTTACACTGACTTATTAGTTATTTAATAGATTTACAAATTAATATAATATTATATACTATATATCAAGATTTAAAATAGTAGATACCTAATACCATCGGTTATAAATTATTGTTAGGTATATAGGTAGGTAAATAATAAAGGAAGTTATAGTAAATAATAACTAAATATGGTGATAATACACATAGGTAGTAAAAATTAAATACTAATAATTGTAAATTATTTATTTATTTACTATTTTTTTTGAGCTAGGTTAGAGCCATTTGCTAAAACGGTAACCTACACTTTTTGTTACATACCTACCTACAGGCTACAAGCATTTATCATAGGTACATAGGTATACTATATAGTACCTAATTAAAGTAATTAGTATTTGGTAGTATTTATAATCAATGCTACAATATACAATATATTGGGAATTTTTATGTTAAAATAATTTTGTACAAATATACGATGTATATTATTGGTTTCTTTTTAGACAGATCGATATTTTTGGCTAATTCAAACATAGACATATTATTGTCTTATATCGTTATATGTCTATGAATTCAAATCAATACTTTGTAAACACTAAACAGTTAAATTTGTAGATGACATTAAAATACGCATAGTGATGCAAAATAATTTTTTTTATTAATTGGAAATTAGAGCGATAGAGAGTATTTAATATTTATAATATACGATAATTATATGAACGCCTAAGAATATTTCGATAGCATAAAAACATCTAATTCTTAGTATCTATTTTGATTGTATAAAATTAAAATTCCTGTCGTCTGATCTCTACATTATAACCGTCGTTATATCTTGTGTACATAACTATTTTTTATACATGTAAATGTAATTTTTTACATGTATAAAGAATTTTTTAAAGTTTCATTATAAAGATTTTTTACTGAAAAGTGGACCTCTGCTTAAAACCTTGTGTCTATAGTATTATAATATTTTTAAATACATTTCATATAGTATTGTAGTAGGTTATAGCAGAGAGTATAATATTATTATTTCATTAAAATGTATAAATTACCAATACAATATATTAATTAAATAGGTATTTAGGCAACATAACCTAGTAGGCAACTATACTTCGGCTCACGAGAGTCCATATGTCCAAACGCGTATGTCTCTGCGCATCTGCATGTTGCCGAATAGTGGGAATGACATCATGGTGGGAGAAAACAGACTTCGGGTATTACTATGTCGATGCGCGGTTTATGTATGGACTCTCGTGGGTCGGAATATAGTAACTATGTTATAAAATCAAGGGTTTTACCATGATGCTTAGAATATTTTCATATATTTCTAATAAAACTATTTTAGTTCTATTAAAAAAACTTTATGAACAAGATAATTCCAAAAATGGAAATCAGCCACATTTCATATAGGTAGGTACTAGGGCTGCGCGGTTATTTTATATAATCGATAATTTTAATCGATTAATCGATAATTTTAATCGATTAATCGATTATTTTCATACTTTATAAATAATTGATATACCTAATCGAAATTTGATTAATCGATTTTCTTATAAATAATCGAATAATCGAAAAATTAATTATAATCGAAAATAATCGAAAATAAACTGAAATTTATTTATAAATTATAGTGAAAAAAAATTTTACGAATATACCCAACATAAAAATATAAAATGTTCTCGTTAGCGGTCATGGTCCACGGTATTGTTATTGGAGTATTTATATTTATAGCTTAAATATCTCATTTACCACTATTAGAATAATATGAACATGGACGAGTTGTGTTTATTTTTAAAATCTGATTGAATTATTATTAATAAACCGTCGTCTATATAAATAATATGTTGTTATTCATCTCACAAATGTTGAATTGAACGGACGCACATTTTATTTGTGATTTGTTATTTGTGAGCACGTTTAGTTTAGTACGGTGGTGACGGCCAATGAGTATTAACTTCAATATTTTATATTCAAAAAAGGTAAGTACCTATAGCCGATAGCTTATAAACCTAAATATTATTTATTTTCTTTCGTATCTTAATTTAAACATAACTAATTACATACCTACTTTTTAACTTAATAGGATTCGTTAAACGAACTAACTGTTGTCAAGAATCAAGATGAGTGAAGTGTGGCAAGTTTTCACTAAACATGAAAATGGAATTAAAGTTATTTGTAAAGAGTGTTCTGGACTATACATCAACTCCGGTTCAAATACAACCAATCTATTGAACCATTTGAAATTTAAACACAAAAAAAAATATATCGAACTAGATCGACTTCGAAGAGGAGTATCTGGTCCTGAAGCTGCTGATCATCTTGAAGTAGCAGATAACGACGCTGAGTAAGTAAACAATTTGCATTTATATTTTTACTGAAATCGCTTTACCAAAATTTGCGAGGCCAATATTTCACTGAGCCATACAATATTTTTTTTCTTCTTATTTTAACAATTGAAGACCTCAGAGGCCAGAGCAACAAATCTCCTAATTTTATTTTTTGTGGTTGATATCATACGTTAATAGTATTTATACTTTGAAAATAAGTGTAGGTATAAACGTATAATTATGTAGGCCACTGTGCAATGATGTAGGTAAATTTAAAATTTTTTCATATAATAACATTAGTTTATTTAATTCTTACTCATAACAAATATATCTAATAAATATATGTACCTATATCATATCTTAGTGCAACAACAATACATTTGTTTTGATATTAAGTATCTGGCGTTACATTTGTGATTGGTAGGTAATAGGTACTTGCTTCGAGTGGGCATCTTGTTTATGATGGATTAGGTTATGTTTCTAGAAATAGCTGATCGTGATATCTGTTATTATAAGTAATCAAATAATAAAATAAAACTTTTTTCTGTATATTTACATGTTGTTATCATTGCGTGCAGAAACATCTTAATTTTTCAAGAATACACAACATCATTACAAATAAGTGATCTATTCATAGAAGTTATAAATGTTCTTAAATAACTTTGTGATGCACTGGAATATTTCTAAAGTATTATCAAATGTGATGCGTCTTTAGGGTCACTTTGCACCGGTGCCAAACAACCAAACTGTACAATATAACTCGTAGGACTATTAATTTTTATAAATTAAAAGAAAAGCATAATATGAACCTCATATTAAAATAGGTTTACCAATATTTTCACAGATAACGAAGACAATTATTTCGTAAAATGTATTACTTCGATGAGTCATTTTGGTTTTCCATTAGAAAAGAATGATTTATAACTTATCGTAAAGGATCATCCAGAACTTGTAACATTTGTAGCAATACATTAAAAGTTGTTGATATTTATTTTTAATTTGATATAAAATGTTATTTTTTATACAATACAAGGAGTATATTCATTGTTTAGGTTAAAGTTAAATACAAGCAACTCAACTTGTGTATTTTTGTTTCTTAAATAAGTTATGATTGATAATATTAAACCAGAGACGATATTTTATTAAAAACAAGCAATTTTTGATAGTGCTACAAAGAAAACCCATCCACTTGGTAACTTGGCAGTTGGCATCAAAACAAATAAATTGTAAAATTGTTTAATAATGAAAATTAAAGTAATTTGACTATGGATAGTCTTAGGTACCCTAAAGTAACTAATATAATTTTCAAAGTTCTAACTCAAATACTCTTTTTTTATATACCTACAGAAATTATCAAATAATATTCAAAATTTGGTGGAAAGTGAGCCCATAATGTTACGGTACATATTTTTTTTTTTAATTTTCGAAAAAATATGGTAGCTACTAGCTACCTGTCACCTATATTACAATTTATGGGAACTAAAATTCAGTGGCGGTGTGAATAGTTATTTTAAGAGGCAGCTGCCTCATGCAAAGTGAGATTGGGTACCCCAATAACTCCAGTCTCAAACACCTAGATGGCTAGACTAGTTTATAATTTATACTCGCATAGTCACTTACAATTTTTTTTTGGCAAATAATTAGCATGTATTTGCATGCTAATTTTTGTAATTTGCATGCGTTTTGTTTAGGCGTGGTATCAAAAAATAGGTGGGAGGCTGTAGACACGTGTCTTCGACCCCCCCACACATCACAAAAACTTATTTTCAAATTTTTTTTACGCCAATATTTAGCATGTAATTAGCATGAATTTGCACGACAGACCCCGAAACTCTATCGTTATCCGTTGCTTCGCAATATTCATTTTTATGATTTGCACGTGTCCCCAGCCCCCCCACTTTGGGAAATACTTGGAAATTCAAAATCGTTTCTACTCCAATATTTAGCATGTAATTAGCATGAATTGGCACGACAGACCCCGCCACTCTATCGTAATCCGTAGCTTCGCAATACTCATTTTTCTGATTTGTTATCAAAAAAAAATGTACCTATATATTAATAATTAAGAAAAATAATTAATAAACACAAATAAATACAAAAAATATTATTGTATTTATTAATAAAATAATATTATTATGTGTTTTTCTTAAAAATTATTTATAAAAATAACTAAAAAAAATTTTTAAAAATGATTAAAGGGATTTTAATATGTGATTTCCTGTCTTTGTCTATCACACATGGAACGTATTAAAAATAGCTATACACCTGACAAAAATTAAGGTACTTATAGTAGTTGGATTTAAAATATGTAAAGATTTTTGAATTGGTATACAAGTTTACCTTGCATCGGTCGAAGCATATTTTTATATTTTTATAAATAAATTTATAAATTATATTAGAATATATGTATTATAAATTATATATAAATATATTTATAAATTTATAAACTTCCAAATATTTATTCTTATCAAAATATTGCTACAGTTGAAAAAGTGCTTCGACCGATGCAAAGTAATCTTGTATACCAATTCAAACATCTTTACATATTTTAAATCTAACAGAAGTCCCTTAATTTTTGTCAGGCGTATAGGTATATTCTACGTGTGTTAGACAAAGACAGAAAATCACTGCTTCCTATTACCTTAATTAAAATAATAGGTATAAATCTAAAATTAATAAATATTATTTATGATAATGATAAACACACAAACAATTTAAATACTATAAAATAAAATTATTGAAAAACATAATACATATAACATTTATGAAATACAGTCCAATTTGAATGAAAAAAACTTAATTTATTAAAAAGATATATATATTTAATAATAAGAGTCTAATATAAATAAAAAATTCTAACAAGAATTAAAATTTTCATTTAAATAATACAATATGTTATTGGCTTTTTTATTTGAAGTACAAATTTTTTCTATTTAGATTTTTTATTCAATTAGGCTTTTTATAAGAATTCTTTTTCCTAAATTTCCATCTATTGATAACAACTATAGGTTTACTTTCCTTTAAAAAAATATATGGTGAAGTATTTTTACTACCCCAAAAGGTGACACGTGTCTACAGCCCCCCTCCCAAACTTATTTTTGATACCACGCTTAATTAAAACACGTGAAAATACATGCTAATGATTTGCAAAAAAAAATTGGAAAATTCTAATGTCATTTTTAAATAAAAATCGGACTAAAATTCTATATTAAATAAAAAAAAGGTGGGCAAGTGGATGTGTCTCTGCTGTAGAGTAGGTTACAAGTGGGTCACTGTATAATGGATGGTATTAAATTTGAATTCAATGATATAAATTAATATCATTGTATAAGAAAAACGATTCTGAGCGGAGACGGTATGTCCTTCTAGGTATAAGACATATTATATACTTATCTATAGTATTAAAAGAAATTGACCTACAATGAATTCCAAATTAATCATATCACAATATCCATTAGGTACTTATAAGTTATAACGCGTTATACACCAACAACAAACCCTGATACTATCATAGATATAGTAGTATACTTTAGAAATATCAAGTACCCACGAATAATATTATACAATCACAACAAAATAACTAAAATAGTAAGTTATTCTAGGTTTTTTATTATGTAATTTCGTCCAAATTTGAATTTAAAATGCCTGTAAAAAATAACTGTGTTTTTTATTTTATATAATATATTATATTTTATATTATTTAATATTATTCGTGGGTACTTGAAATTTCTAAAGTATACTACTATATATCTATGATAGAATCAGGGTTTGTTGTTGGTGTATAACGTGTTATAAGTACATAATGGATATTGTGATATGATTAATTTGGAATTCATTGAAGGTCAATTTTTTTAATACCATAGACAAGTATATAATATGTCTTAAACCTAGACTGGCATACCGTCTCCGCTCAGAATCGTTTTTCTTATACAATGATATTATATCATTGAATTAAAATTTAATACCATCCATTACACAGTGACCCACTTGTAACCTACTGTACAGCAGAGCGACACCCACTTGCCCACCTTTTTTCTATTAAACTGAGCTTTTTTTTTCAAATAAGATTTATATTATTGGATATAAAAAAATGGCATGGCACCCTGACACAATCTATATTTGATATTTATTAAAACAAATTTCAATAATTATCATAGTTCAAAATTAAATACTGTATGTAATAAAAAAATTAATTTGATTAAATGTAATATGAATAAAAATATAAAATTAACAAAAAAAGCTTATTCAAATGAAAACGTATTTTCATTAAAAAAATGTATATTTAATACACGGCGTATTGCTGCCCCCCTACCCCCTATGAATTTTGATATTTTTGAATGAGGTTCGGGCGAATTTTAAAACCAGGCTTGGGAATACGTGCTAATTGCATGCTAAATATTGGCGTAGAAACGATTTTGAATTTCCAAATATTTCCCAAAGTGGGGGGGGGGGGCTGGGAACACGTGCAAATCATAAAAATGAATATTGCGAAGCAACGGATAACGATAGAGTTTCGGGGTCTGTCGTGCAAATTCATGCTAATTACATGCTAAATTTTGGCGTAGAAACGATTTTGAATTTCCAAGTATTTCCCAAAGTGGGGGGGGCTGGGGACACGTGCAAATCATAAAAATGAATATTGCGAAGCAACGGATAACGATAGAGTTTCGGGGTCTGTCGTGCAAATTCATGCTAATTACATGCTAAATATTGGCGTAAAAAAAAATTTGAGTTTTAAAAAATTAGTTTTTGTGATGTGTGGGGGGGTCGAAGACACGTGTCTACAGCCTCCCACCTATTTTTTGATACCACGCCTTAACAAAACACATGCAAATTACAAAAATTTGGAAAATTCTAATGTGGGGGGGCTGGAGACACGTACGTGTAAAAACAACCTTGTATTATCAAATGTTCCCCAATAACTGTTTTTTCTGCTTGAATGACAGCTTGTTCAAAGTCCATGTTCATTATCTTAGGGTCGGGATAAACATTATTTTCGGAACATTTATTGAATATTGCAG